TCTGGAACTGAGAAGAAAGTGGCAGCCACTGAGCTCCAGGAAACACAGCACTGGGTCCGGCATCCCGAGGGATTGTCAGGTCTGCAGGGGGGTCAGCAGCTATCCTGCCCCTGCCATCTACAAAGCCCTGTGCACCTGACCCTGTTGCTCCATCACCAGAGCTCCCCCTTGACATGCATGAGGCTGGAAGGAGACAGTGGCCTTCAGAGCACTGGGAGGGCTCAGCCACCAGATGACAACTTGAGATTCAGAAAGAGAAGCTTGGATTTGCATACCTCTTTGCATCTCATTTGCATGGACTCAGAACCTGGTAAAGCCTGCATCTCTTTCTAGCAACCCCTAGCCGCCTGGGGCCCTGGGTGGCCTTTTGGTTGCAGAAGCTTGGCTCTGCGTTGGGTGAGGAGGGAGACAGGACTCCTGCCCAGGACTGGGGTGGGATAGTGGCTTCTCTGGCAGCGTGGGATCTCCAGAGGTCCAACCTTCCCTGGAAAACCCATCACTAGGCAGGGGCAGTTTTCCTTGGGAGTTATTTTCTCTCTCATGCCAGGAGCTCACTGTGATTTCAAAGCATCTGTGTGGCTTCATTTGGGTCACTTGGTTTTCTGTGGCTGCCAGTAGCACAGAGGTCCCTGAGTGCAGTCCGGGAGCTCCCGAAAGGGGGAAAGTGCATCATCTTGTGTTTGAATGAATCACAAAACTTCTTTCATCAAGCTCACTTTAAGTGACCAGAGGCTTGGCTGGCCCCTTCCTGTCCTGAGCTGGCCGGATTTGCAGACACCCCTTCCCTATGGCAGGCCAGGTTCCAGTGAGCCCCCCAAGGACCTAGCCTGGCCCTTCTGATGAAGGTAACTTATCTCTTTACCAAGGAGGGGGTGGGGAAGAACTGGGAGAGGATTTTGGGTGTGCAGGATTCAGGTTTGGCTTGACTGTGCCCCTCCTGGGGCTCTCCTTCTTCAGAAAGCAGAAAATGAGCGTGGAGGTAATAGCTACTTGGTTCCTCTCCTCTTTCCTCCTTTGAAAATGGGCAATAGTTGGCCAGGCTTACTGGCGTTTACATCCAGCACCCAGGAATCCAGACTTGGGAGCTTCTTAGAGGCAGCTGGTCCTATGTCAAGTGCCTGAGATCAAATTCCAGCTCTGACGCTTACATCTCTGTGACCCTGGGCAAGTTCTAAACCTCTCTGAGCCTTAGCTTCCTGCTGCCTCTTAATCACAATACTGTTTTGGGATTGGCGATCATTGGCAAATCTGAGGTGCAAGAGTCAGTAGCAGCTGTCCTTTGGGAAGAGTGTCCTTAGTGCGGACATCTCCCCACTCCCCTTCACTACCCTCTGCCCAGTTTGGCTGGCTTAGCTTTTAGGGCAAGAATCAAGCCTCACTCTGCAGGATCTAGCAGAGACAGGTCCTGGATCAGTCAGTAGCAGCGTCATTCTGCCCCTGCTCTGACAGAGGGAGGCCCGCCTGGGGCCTCAGAGGTGCCAGGCCTAGGATCCTCCCTTGGAAACGGCAGGAAGCTGTGTTTGCCACCGAGGTACTGAGGTACTGATGACACCCAGCCCCCCCTCCTCAGGCTCAGAAAAAGGGAAGGGGGATGCGGGGAGAGGGGAGTGAAGGCGAAAGAGAGACTGGGGTCTGAGGGCTGCTGAGCAATAAAAGACTTTAAAGTGGACTCACTTTAATGATACACTTCAGTAATTCGCTCTAGTTTCCCATCCCATTATTAAATTACAACAGTAACTCATGTCATGGATTTTGGCTGAGAAAACATTCATTTTATTTTATTGTGTTTTTGTGCTATAGTCTATAATGAAGGCAACCAAATCCCCCTCGTACCAGAATGGGCCAGGGTGTGGGGAGGGGTCCGAGGAGCAAGGTGGGAGTCAGAATGCTGCCTGCTAATTCCCCGGACCACCAAGGGCTGTCAGCCATGGGGGCCTGAAGGTGGAGGACCAGGGAGGGAGGAGCAAGAAGGAGAGGCCGAGGTAGGTTCTCAGGGGGTGAGAGGGATACAGACGGGTTCTGCTGGGGACAGAGAAGCCATCCTCTACCTGTAGACAAGACAGACAGATAAGGGCCATGACTTCCCTCTGGGTCGGAGCATGTCCTGGGAGCAGGGAGGAGCTGGAGCAATTCTCTTTAGCTTCTGTTTGGCTGCTCCTCAGAGGTGAGATGGGAAAAATTAGGGGTGAAGAGGCAGCAGGGGTGAAGAGTTTGCTGGGGCACGGTGGCTCATGGCTGTAATCCCAGCACTTTGGGAGGTGGAGGTGGGTGGATCACATGAGGTCAGGAGTTCGAGACCAGCCTGGTCAACATGTTGAAACCCTGTCTCTACTAAAAATACACAAAAATTAGCCAGGTGTGGTGGTGGGTGCTGGTAATCCCAGCTACTCAGGAGGCTGGGGCAGGAGAATTGCTTGAACCCTGGAGGTGGAGGCTGCAGTGAGTTGAGATTGCACACTACGCTCCAGCCTGGGCAACAAGAGAGAAACTCTATCTGGGGGGGGGGGGGGGGGGGGGCGGGGAAGAGGCAGCAGGAGCATCAGAAGATAGCCCTGAACAATTTTCATTTTCTTTCTTTTGAGACCGGGTCTCACTCCATTGCCCAGGCTGGGGTGCAATGGCACAATCTTGGCCCACTGCACTCCACTTCTCAGGTTCAACTAATTCTTCTGCCTCAGTCTCCTGAGTAGCTGGGATCATGGACATATGCTACCATGCCCAGCTAATATTGGCCAGGCTGGCTTCAAACTCCTGACCTCAAGTGATCCGTCTGCCTTGGCCTCCCTAAGTGCTGGGATTACAGGTGTGAGCCACCACACCTGCCTAGTTTTCATTTTCTTTGGGATGGATGGAGAATCAGCAGAGAAGGTGAGTGCTACGAGTCTTGCTGCACCAACCCCACGTCTGGGCCCTGGCTGTGCTCTGGTGAGGATGAAGGGACTGAGGTTGGCACAGCGTCTCTCCCAGTGGAATGGCTGGGAGTGTGGAAGGTTCTGGGTTTTGTGGAATGATTCCTGTTGCTTCATCTCTTTTTTTTCACAGTTCTTTTAAGCTGGAGTCACCGGCCACCTCTGAACCTCCAAATGTCACTCTGCCAGAGGATCAGACAAATATATAGAGAAAAAGAACATGCTGGGGTTGTCCCCAGAGCCCTCTGTAGCAGAGACTCAAGTTGTCACCGGTAATAATAATAATACTTTTAAAAAGCCTGTTTTGAACATTTAGGATTTGCTAGGCCTTGTGCTAAGAGTCTTTTAAGTACATTGTTTAAAAAGGACTGGACATGGTGGTGGTGCATGCCTGTATTCCCAGCACTTTGGGAGGCTGAGGTAGGCGGATTACTTGAGGCCAGGAGTTCAAGACCAGCCTGGCCAACATGATGAAACCCCGTTTCTATTAAAAATACAAAAATTAGCTGGGTCTGGTGGCACACACCTATAATCCCAGATACTCAGGAGGTTGAGGCAGGAGGATTGCTTGAACCTGGGAGGCAGAGGTTGCAGTGGGTTGAGACAGTGACACTGCACTCCATCCTGGGTGACAGAGCGAGACTCCCATCTCAAAAAAAAAAAAAGTTATCACACCAAAGATCAAAACAATTGAACTCATCGACATAGAGTGTGAAATACAGTCAATAATAAGTTAATTGTACATTAAAATAAAGAGTGTCATTAGATTGTTTATCACTGAAAGGGTAAATGCTGGAGGGATGGATACCCTGCTCTCCATGGTGTGTTTATTTCACATTGCATGCCTGTATGAAACATCTCACGTACACTACAAATATATATATATACACACACACACCCCTACCATGTGCCAACAGGAATTTAAAAACTTTAAAGAGTACAAAAAATAAAATTATCACCTTAATCTTATGAGGTAGCTATTAATCATTGTTATTCATTATTTACATGCAAGGAAACGGAGGCTCAGGTTGGCTTCTAAGATGGATAGCTACTAAGTGCCTGATGGAGGTCTCAGACCCAGACAACATGACCTGAAGCTCATGTCAGCCCCCACGGGTTCTCTCTTTGTGTTTTTTGAGACAGGGTCTCACTCTGTCATCCAGGCTGGAGTGCAGTGGCATAATCACGGCTCACTGTAGCCTTGACCTCCAGGGCTCAAGTGATCCTGCCTCAGCACCCCCGGCCAACTTTCGTATTTTTAGTAGAGACAGACTTTTGCCATGTTGTCCAGGCTGGTCTCAAATTCCTGGGCTCAAGTGATCCTCCTGCCTCAGCCTCCCAAAGTGCTGGGATTATAGGTGTGAGCTACTACGCGCAGCCCTCATGGGTTCTCAGAGGTTAGTGGGCAGGTCAGCCTGGGCAGACCCCATTCCCAGAGTTTAGGAGGGCCAGGGCCAGGGCCAGGGATGGCTGGGAGGGGACCTTTATAAAGCATCTCAGATAAGAAGCTGTGCTGAGCTGCAGGCCTCCGAGACCTGAGCTGCGGCCAAGGTAGCTGAGCTCAGGCCACCTCTGAACCTCCAAATGTCACTCTGCCAGAGTGACAAATGTATATCAGGCAAATATATACAGAAAAAGAAGGTACTGTGGTTGTCCCTAGAGGCTTGCGGAGGCCCCGCCCTGCTCTTCCTCCCTCCTGCTCCTGGGCCAGCCACAGTGCTGCTCCCTGGAGTGGAAGTCGCCTGGCTCCTGTTTTCCCTAATTGGCCTTCTGCTGGCCCTGCCTGGCCCTCAGTCCTCAGGGACGGAGCCTGGCCCAGCCCTGGGGCTGATGGGTGGGCTGGAAGTTCAGCGCCTGGCTGAGGCCCCTTTGCCAGGCCCTGCCTTGGTTCTGCTTGTTGCTTTGTTGTTTTTATCTGCCCACACCTGCAGCTCTCATGAGGGGCCTCTGGGTCCTGCTGTCCTCGTCCTGCCCTGCCCTGTGCTCCCTGGTGACCCCAGGCCCAGCCCTTGTGCCTTATCCCCAGGGACTCCTCACGCTGCTACCTGGCCTCACTCTCGGGATTCAAGGTGAGCAGCTTGCTACTTGAGGCCACCTATGGTAAGACCCCTTCAACACCCTCTGGCTCCAGGCTGTCCCTGGAAGTCTCACACCTGCCTTACCCCAGCGACAAGGGCAGCTGCGTGCTGGATACCCTAGCTCACTCTGCCCAGATCACCTCCTCCATCTCACCTGTGGTGCGGTCTCCACCTGGTCCTAGTTCAGGCTTCCTCCATCCCCCACTCTGAGGCTCCTCCTACTCCCAGCCTTTAACCCCCTGAGGTCTGACGAGGAGGAGGAGGAGAGAGGGGAAAATGCCTGCTCACCTCCACATTGTCACGGGAACAAACCATCCCACAGGGACCGGCACTTGTAAGCCATTGTTGTACGTGCTTGGCACATTAGAAATCCAGAGGGCAGAATGCCTCCCTCTCTCCACTACAAAGAAAGATAGTCAGACAGGTCAGAGCGAGTGAACAACACACCTCGGTGTCTTCTTTAACAAATCCCTGGCAACTAAGCTTCCTCACAACAAACAAATGGACAAGTGCCATTCAGCAGCCACTCCCGGCTGGTGTTAGGTCAGTGCCGGCCAGAGGCTCAGGTTTTTACGGAAAGCAGGTTGCAGTGGCTTGGGCTCGAGAGCGTAATTGATGGAAACACTCAAGCACCTGAAGGCCATTCATTTGCCTCCAACCTCGAGCCTCTTAGCCAGGGATACAGAGAGAGGAGGAGGTGAGCTCTGTCTGTTACCTCTTGATTTCCCCGTCTAAGAGCCGAGTTTTCTTCATCTGCTGCCTTGGGAACTCAGCTGGGCCCTTTTGCTGGAGCAGGACATGCACGGTGGGTAAGCAAGCCATCTGTGTGCCCCCTGTGGCTTCTGGCATCTCTAGTGTGAGGCAGGCGTGGCTCTGAGCTATTCTGAGCATCTGCGTCTGGGTGCCCTTACTCCATATCCTGGGACATCAGCTTTTGCATCTTCTGTGTCACTGCATTCTTTTACCCCGGGCAATCCCAGGTCTGACAGGACAGTGTTTCTTTCGGACACACCCTTTCTACCCTATGGTGGCATCCTGAGTGTGTGGTGTCCTGGTTGAGGGTTTGGGAACCTCCAGGATGTGGGAGACAGGCTCGAGTAGCTCCCTGGGAAGGCTTCGTCTCTGTGGTCCTCCATGGTGGGCATTCAGAGGTTGTGAAATGGGAATGAGTTTGGGTTTCCAGCTGATGGGGAGCTTTTATTTCTGATCTGGTTTACTGCCCATTGGTTTCTAAATTACAGCCTTGCCGTCACCCTCTGTGTGTTACAGGTTTGGTTTCCCGGGCAGCAGGCTGAGTCTGCAGGATGGTTATTCAAGAACAATGGAGGAGGAAGCTGGAGTGGCTGCGGGACAGCCTGGCCAGGGAAGCCCTCAGAGCTGTCCTGAGTGGGCTGGGGCGGCCAGCCCTGGTTTCTCTCCAGCACAGACCTTTGGCTGTGGACCCTCAGAGGAGGGTGTCTCTGTGGGCAGGGCTCTTTGCAGCTGAGGTGTCCTGGAGCCAGCTGCCAGCAGCAGGTAACGTTGTCTACCGTCAGAGCTGGGGATCCACCATGTGGCCGTGTTGCTCGGGGCTGGCCTCACTGACCCTCCAGGGTGGACGGGATGTGAGCCTTGGCCTCCATGTCCTCACTTCCCAAGTCCTAGCCAGTACATTCAAGTTCCCTCCGTCTGCTCAGAGAACTCTTACTCATACCATAAGACCGAGGTCAAACATCACCTCTGCTGCGCTGCCCCTCTCTGACAGCCACGTCTCCAGCTCCGGAGCTCCATTCCCCCGCAGGGCTCCACAGCGCCTCCTTCCTACCTATCCTGGAATTTACATCCTTCCTATGGAAACGATGTCTTGCCAAGTCCACTCCCCGCCTTGCACTCACCAGGAGTCCCCTGGGATCAGACACTGTCTTTTCTTTCTCCTTTCATCCTTGGTCCCCAGTGCCAAGCCTGGAACGTGGAGGCGGCTGCTGACTTTGCTGAATGAATGTAGGAGGAAGGCAAAGGGAAGGTAGGGGACCCTCCTCCAGCCAAGCCGACCCCCAGATGTCAGGCCCCAGGCAGAGCCCCTGCCCCCGGCCTAGGACCCTCGCTGCTTCTGGCTCCTGTGGGCAAGAAGGGCCCCATCCTCAGGGGCCACAGTGGCAGAGGCTCCTGGGGAAGCTATGACAGACAGGTGCAGCCACTCCTACTAACATCTCTCCTCCACCCTCATCCTCCTTGGGAGACTTCCTCTGAATTCTTAGTGGCCAGAGCTCTGTCAGCTTAGCAGTGGAGCGAGGGTTACCTGGAGTCCTTCCTTCTTGTTTTAAACTCCCTCCTTCTCCATGACCAGGAGGGTCTGAGAGTGGAGGAGGGAAGGGACTCACCCTCGGGTTGAGGACATTGAGCTCTCCCTCCCTGGGGCTGCCACCGGGCCCTTTAAAGGTTAAGTGTGTTTATGCGGCATCTTCAGGAGGTTGCTGGGTCTGACAAAACGGAGGGAAGAGTGATTAATGGCTGGTGTCCTTGTTGCTGTCCCCACAGGAAGGGAGGCTCCGTCAGCTGCCCAGGAGCTGCTCTGGTGGCTCCCAGCAGGCTTCGGGGCAAGCACTCCTGGACCGAGAGGAGGCTGTGATCCTGCAGTGGGGCCTGGAGAGAGGCTGGGGAGCTGCTGTCTTGGGAAAACCTGAGTTCGCTCCACGCCAGAGCGGATCCCTGTGGGATTGCAGGCAGAAGGGAACAGAAGTCTGTGGCCCACGGAGGCTGACTTGTAGGACTTCATGACCTTTACATCATGCCCTCTAATACAGTCCGATGTGTCTTAGTAGAACAATTATGGTTTAGGTTGTGCAGCAATCAAATCGTTTAACTTAACACCTGCCAGGCGCAGTGGCTCACGTTCTAAACTCCCAGCACTTTGGGAGGCCAGGGCACGAGGATAATTTGAGCCCAGGAGTTGGAGACCAGCCTGGGCAACATAAGGATACCCCATCTCTATAAAACATTTAAAAGCTAATGGAGTGTGGTTGTACTCAAAACTCAGGAGGCTGAGTGGGAGGATCGCTTGAGCCCAGTGCATCATGCACTGCAGCCCAGGTGGCAGAGAGAGCCCTTGTCTCAGAGCAACAATGACAACAGCAACAACATCTAATCCTCCCGTCCCAATGTACTTCTTAAGTAAAGTGATTACTCCAGCAGGATGTGCTGATTAGGGAGCTCCTCACCCGCAGCTCCCGAGGGCCCCAGTTGGAGAAACCTGGACTTCAAGGCACCCCTGGGAGGTGGCAGGGGAGCAGGTGGGGATGGGGAGCTGGGGGGAGCCTGCATAGCCTCAGGTTTCTTCCACTGCCCCAAGGCCTGTGCCTCGTTGGAGGTGTGCTGGGTTTGCCTCTTGAAGCCAGGGCTCCATTTTGCAGTGTGGTATCAGGCACAGCCTGGGTGCTGAGTGAGCTTTTTGAGCAAATGATAAAAGCTTGAATGGTGACTCTCAGGGGAGAGTTCAGGGGAGGCCAGGTGTCGGGGGAATGACCAGACCCTTGCCCAGGAGGGAGTAGTCTCAAGCAGAGAATGGATGGGAGGGTGGGGAGTGTGCAGCCCCCAAGGCCTGGCACTCCAGCCAGCCTTGGGCCTCTGTTGAGCCATCTGGGGTCTTTGATACAAGCATTCCTGCAAGAGCACCTTGCATGCCCCATCTTCCTATCAGGACAGGCAGGAATCGAGTAGGTGAGTGGGCTGACCCTTCTGGACCCCTGTTTTTCTTTTCTTTTCTTCCTTCCTATTATTATTATTATTATTTTTTGAGATGGAGTCTCACTCTGTTGGCCAGGCTGGAGTGCAATGGCGCTATCTCCACTCACTGCAACCCCCGCCTCCTGGGTTCTAGCCATTCTCCTGCCTCAGACTCCCAAGTAGCTGGGATTACAGGCACGTGCCACCACACCTGGCTAATTTTTTTGTATTTTTAGTAGAGATGGGGTTTCACCATGTTGGCCAGAATGGTCTCAAACTCCTGACCTCATCATCTACCCACCTGGGCCTCCCAAAGTGCTGGGATGACAGCTGTGATTCACTGCGCCTGGCCTGCCTTTTCTTTTCTTTTCTCTTCTCTCCCTCTTTCTTTCCTTCCTCGCTCTTTTTGGGAGACAGGGTCTTGTGCTGTTACCTGGGTTGTAGTGCAATAGTGTAGTCTCGGCTCACTACAACCTCCACTTCCCAGGTTCAAATGATTCTCCTGCCTCCCAGGTAACTGGAATTACAGGTGCCTGCCACCATACCTGGCTAATTTTTTGTATTTTTTTGTAGAGATGGGGTGTCACTATGTTGGCCAAGCTGGTCTCCAACTCCTGACCTCGTGATCAGCCCACCTGGGCCTCCCAAAGGGCTGGGATTACAGGCATGAGCCACTGTGCCTGGCCTCTTTCTCTTTCCTTCTTCCCTTCCCTCCTTTTTCTTCCTCTTCCTCTTTCTCTCTCTCTCTTTCTTTTTCTCTTTCTCTCCTTCCTTCCTTCCTTCCTTCCTTCCTTCCTTCCTTCCTTCCTTCCTTCCTTCCTTCCTCCCTCCCTCCCTCCCTCCCTCCCTTTCTTTTCTTTCTTCTCAGAGTCTTGCTCTTTTGCCCAGGCTGGAGTGCAGTGGCATGATCTCGGCTCACTGCAACCTCTGCCCCTCGAGTTCAAGTGATTCTCCTGCCTCAGCCTCCCGAGTAGCTGGGATTCCAGGCGCGTGGCACCACACTCAACTTTTTTTAATTTTTTTTATTTTTAGTAGAGTTGGGGTTTCACCATGATGTTGACCAGAATGGTCTCAAATTCCTGACCTCAGGTGATCCTCCTGCCTCAGCCTTCCAAAGTGTTGGGATTATAGGCGTGAGCCGTCGTGCCTGGCCTTGACCCCTGTTTTCTGATCACCCTCATTGGGAGGAAAACTCCTCGCCTAAGAGACAACAGAGGAGAAAGTGCTTGGAAAATAAAAGCAATATTCACCACAAAAGATTTTTAACATGTAAGTGCTGCATGACTGCATTGTCAAACATTAATAACTCAGCTATTTTCAGATTCCCAATCATGATCAATGCCCCTGGGACTATGAAAACGCCATCACAAGTGTTTACATTATTCTCCTGGGTGAGCGGAGCTTTGGAAAGGAAAAGAAGGAAACTGTAAACTGACAAACTTCTGAAAACACTTGGGACTCGCAGGGCTTTTCTTCAGCAGAACCGTGGCTGAGTGACACTTGGCAGGCGCGGAGCACTTCAGGCGTTTCCTTGTCTGACGCTCACAGCAGCCCCCAGGTAGGCAGACACGGTGTATTTACGCCTTTGAATTGAGTCCCTTCCAGGGATCGGGAGTGAGGGAGGGTGTGAGTGTGTGCGGGTGCACACCTGTGCACAGGGGAGGCGGGACCTTTGGATTCCGATGCCAGTTACACGGACATCCTTACACCCTCGGATATAACGCCTCCGAGCCTGAGGTGCTCACAATATCCCCATTTTTCTCTATCCTGATGGCTTCTGAGATGCCAGGCCAGCCTCCCTTCCTCACCGCTCATTTTCTGAGGAGGGGCAGCTCAGGTGGTTGTTGGAGCAGAACACACTGCTTCGATCCCTCTGTGGGGCACGCCTTGTGGCACAGGGGTCCCTACGCCCTGCACGCCATCCCCTCTGTGAGGATGAGCTGCCCTCATGGCCACTGCGTGGTGGTCGCTGCCGAGGGATGCGGCATCACAGCACTTGGTCGCTTCATCCATACCCGCTTCGTGCCTACAGCACGCTTGAAACAGTTTCCCATCACAGCCTCTCTCCCCCGGGGATGCATTCTTTCTTATTGTTTCCGTTTTCTAGTTTGTGGCAGATTGGATTCTTGTTTCCAATTCTTCCCTCTCTCCCTGCTGTAGAATTTCACATTTGCCTCTATCGCCAGGTGCTTTGCAGGGTGTCCCCGCCCTCCCCCACCAAGAGTGGGTGCAGAATTTTTCCCTGCTCTGTCAATGCTGGGTGTGGCCACGTGCCCTGAAATGATGCCCGGAGCCCAACCTCTGCTGACCTGTCCCCACAAATAAAAATGCCTTTTCTTTTTTTGAGACAGAGTCTACCACTGTTGCCCAGGCTGCAGTGCAGTGGTGCAATGTCTGCTCACTGAAACCTCCGCCTCCTGGGTTCAAGCGATTCCCTGCCTTCGCCTCCTGAGTAGTTGGGATTACAGATGCCCACTACCACTTATTTTTAGTAGAGAAGAGGTTTCACCATGTTGGCCAGGATGGTCTCGAACTCCTGACCTCATGATTTGCCTGCCTCAGCCTCCCAAATGGCTGAAATTACAGGTGTGAGCCACTGCGCCTGACCAAAACAAATGTTGATCTTTGTTGCTGTAGGTCATTGAGATTTCTGAGGAAATCTCATTAGTCACATTATTGTAGTGACCAGTTCCCAAGTCATTCATTCACTCAGCAAACACCATGTGGCATGTGGCTGCCTTGGGTTAGAAAAGCTGCTGGGAGCAGGACATAGTCCCTGGCCTCAGGGGTCTTACAATATAATAGCACTGTGGCTGTCAGGCTGTGAGGAGACAAGACGCCAGTCCCCTGTCCCACAGGGGTCTTCAGAGTTTGGGGTGGAGAGGGTGGAAACCGGAGCCCCAGCAGGCGGGGTGCCAGGCAGGGTGGTCCACCTCTCACCCAGAACAACATGCCTCCTTTTTCATCTGTGTCATACTTCGGGGTCTTGAGTAAGGTGCTATTTCTCAAAAGCATCCTACTGCCAAAATAGTTTGCAAAGCTTTGTGGGAGGAAGCTGCAGGTCACGGGTGGGGGTGGGGAACTGAGGTCACACAGACTCAATAAGGAAGGCTGGGGACTCCTGCCCCCAAACCTCAGGCTTGACCCACTGGGGTCCATGGGGAGCAGCAGTGTCTTTTCCCTCTTTATTATTTTTCCAAATACCAGCCCAGGGAGACATGTGAGGACCCATCTAGCTCCATGGAATTCCTCTTCACATCCCTGTGGGAACACAGGCCGGAAGCAGGGGCTGGCTCAGGGTTCCATGGTGGCACCCGACTGCCCCGAGGGAATGACAGTAAAACTTCCAAGACAGTCCGCTTTTTAGGAGTTATAAGCAAACAGCAAAAACACAGCCTGTCGGTCGTGCCGAATGCTGTTTTCTCATCCAAAAACATGGGATGAAAATGCGAAGCTCTGTACAGAGTGACTGAGTCATACTCATTGTTCTCCAGTAAACATCTTGAGTTGTGTTTCACTGAGACTTACGGGTAAGTCTCAGTGGCCCATGCCTCAGTGTCCAGCTCTGTGAAATGACAGAATCAGACACGGCAAAGGTAGACAGCCCCACTCACTCCAGAGTTAAGTGAAGCCCTTGAAGGAAATGCACCAGGTTTTCTAGGAGTTTCTGACATTACTTGTTTTTATTATCCTTACCAAAACTTTATGTTCAGCCACTTGTTTTTCCTCTATCTTTTCTGGAACGCTTCTCTTTAGTGTGTTTCATGAGTGGAGCACACAAAAGTCTCTTTGACCTTCTCTCTCTCTCTCTCTCTCTGTAAGGCTCTTCTTGGTATTATTGAATTTTATTCACAGCAAGACCCATCTGAGGCAATCCTGGTGCAATCTTCCTCACTTTGTCCCTCTCTTCCTTCCTTCCTTTCTCTTTCTCTCTCTTTCTTTCTTTCTCTTTTTTCCTTCTCTCTTTCTTCCTTTCTCTCTCTACTCCTTCCTCCCTTTCTCTTTTTCTTTCTTTCCCTCTCTCTCCCCCTCCCTCTCCTCTTTCTTTCTTCTTTCTTTCCTCTCTCTCTCTCTCTCTCTCTCTCTCTCTCTCTCTCTCGTTCATTTCTTTTTGACACAGAGTCTCCCTCTGTCACCCAGGCTGGAGTGCAGGGCCATCATCTTGGCTCACTGCAACCTCTGCCTCCCAGGTGCAAGCGATTCTCCCGCGTCAGCCTCCTGAGTAACTGGGATCACAGGCCCACACCTGGCTAATTTTTTGCCTTTTTAGTAGAGATGGGGTTTCACCATGTTGGCCAAGATGGTCTCGATCTCCTGACCTCAAGTGATCCATCTACCTTGGCCTCCCAAAGTGCTGGGATTACAAGTGTGAGCCACCGCATCTGGTCTTTATTTATGTATTTAAAGTGACAGGACAAAATTGTATTTGCATGTACAGCATGATGTTTTGAGGAAAATACACCTTGTGGGATGACTGGCTCTAGCTAACTGCCACATGCTTTGCCTCATATATGTACCATTGTTGTCAAGTGAGAACACTTAACATCCACTCTTAGCATTGTTTTGAGAATACAATATATTACTGTTATCATGGTCACTGCGTGGTCCAATGCCTCCCCTTGTCTTGATTGCCCAGGCAGTGATGTGAATGGAACCATCTGGAGTCTTTTTTGATACCTAGTGAGTGCTTGGGCAGTCCCAGGCTGAGGGTGGGGAGGAGGGAAGGGGTTGTGAGGGGCAGGGCCTCCTGCCTAGGGTTGAGGCATATATTCTCAACTTTCAGAGTGTGCAGAGTTCTAGGGAGGGTGCCTGAGGAGCAGGGCTGGGAGTGCTCCTCCTTCTCCACCTTCCCCCAACTTGCTCTCTGACATGTGGAAGCTGTCAGAGAACTGGGCCCTGGCATCTGGTGGCTCTATGATTCTGGCTCCCAGGGCCTCCCCATATTCTCACCCTGGCTGGGGAGTGGGGAGGAAGAAGAGGGAGAGTTTGATAAGATAGGGTGTCTGTGGCCCTTTATACCAAGAATGATTCATGCATTCCTTCCTTTCCTCTCTTCCTTCTAGCCCCCCACCCACCCACCCATCCACTAATCTATCCATCCAGTCATACACCCACTCACCCATCCATCCATCCACCCGCCCACCCATCCATCCAATTATTCATCCATCCATCCATCCACACACCCACCCATCCACTCATCTATCCATCCAGTCATACACCCACTCACCCATCCATCCACCCACCCGCCCACCCATTCACCTATCCATCCAATTATTCATCCATTCATCTGCCCACCCACCCACCCACTCATCTATCCATCTAGTTATACACCCACTCACCCATCCATCTATCCATCCACCCACCCACCCACCATCCATCCACTCATCTATCCATCTAGTCATACACCCACTCACCCATCCATCCATCCACCCATCCACCCATCTACCCATCCATCCAATTATCCAATTATCCATCCATCCATCCATCCATTGAACAAAAGGGACCATTTCCTGCCCCCTTTGGGAAGACTGCCAGGTTTTCTCTGCCTTACAGCTGGGTTGAGTTGACATTTGGGAGAAGGAGGCAGGTGCTGCACTTTGCATCAGGGCCTGGACCTGCTGCAGACGCAGGTGTTCAGCTCCGTGCCAGGACCGATGCTGGCCACAGGAGCTGGAGAGCTGGCTTTGTGCCCAGAGCTGGTTGTAGCATCTTGGTGTGTTTCTGCCCCCAAATTCCCCAGTAGGCACAGGGACATTCCATCATCTCCAGAAATAGCTACCATTTAAAGCAATAAGGAGACAGGACAACGACTGCTTCCCTGACTCCAGCAAGGCCTCCAGAGGCTGTCCTGCCTGTGAGATGCCATGTTAAGTTCTTTGTGAGCAGAGCTGCCCACAGCCCTTAGCTCACTGCAGGAAGCAACCAACATGGCCCCCACATTAGTAGCCCTCAGGCTGGACCAAGCTCAACATTTGGTTAACCACCCTGTAGGCTCCTTCGTTTTCAAATGTCACAGAATATCTTTTTGTGCTATCACAAGAATGGAGTCTCTCCTTCCTTCAGCCTCATCTGAGTTGGGGGTAGGGAGAGTTGGACACAAAGGTCAAGGGGGGGAGAGAAACCCTCAAAACCGCCCCCAGAAAGCCAAGGCAGAGGCTGGCACACAATGACACGGAGACAGCCCCACGCCCTCATGGGTCCATCCCATCCTCAATCACACTGCGTGGCTGGGCTCTTCTGCATTTCACAGGAGGCTCAGGAAGATGAAGCAACTTGCCTGAGGTCTCACGGGTATAAGAAGGAGAGGAGGGATGGACGGGGCTCAACTCTAGGCTTGCCGGGTACAGAGCCATGAGCCCCCCGCCCCCTCCTTGATGGGTTCTCTCTGCACACTGCAGGCTGCCCCTGTGCTCTGCCCGGCCCCTGCTGCAGGAGGGCGCAGAGCTAACTGCTGGCTGGTCTCCATGGCAACAGTGATGAGCCTGCATCAGATGATGGCAGAGCTGCCTTGGAGTGCGAGCTTGGCTGCGATGGCAGGGACTTTGGAGGAGAGGAGCTGGAGGAGTGGGGGATGGGGCACGAGCTGGGGCGCAGGATGGACTGCTCTCCCAGCAGCCGTTTGGAAGATGCTTCCAGTCAGGTCTCAGTCTCAATCAGTCACTGGTTCATGTGTATTTCATGGACATCCACCCTGTGTTGGGCACTGGGCATACAACAGTCTACTGGACCCAGTCCCTCACCCTCAAGGGGACTGTAGCCCAGGAGAGAGGCAGGCAGATGATCAGGTAATTCCTGCTCATCATGATTGTTGGGAAGACAGGGAAAGTGTGGGACACATGCAGCCCCTAAGAGAGGCACCCCACCCGGGCTTCAGGCAGGAAAGTTTTCCAGGAGAGAGGAATATCTACATTCTGATGGATGAAGGAGTCAGCTGGTGAAGAATGGGGGTGGAGATCCAGATGGTGGGGCAGTGAGAGACAGAGACAGAGACAAAGAGATTAGAGACAGAGAGTGGAGAAAGAGAGAGACGGAGAGACAGAGGTAGAGAGCAGAGAGAGAATCCCAGCACTTTGGCAGGCTGAGGTGGGCAGATCCCTTGAGGTCAGGAGTTCCAGACCAGCCTGACCAACATGGTGAAACCCTGTCTTCACTAAAAATACAAAAAATTAGCCAGGTGTGGTGGCACATGTCTGTAATCCCAGCTACCTGGGAGGCTGAGACAGAAGAATCACTTGAACCTGGGAGGCGAAGGTCACAATGAGTCGAGATCAGGCCACTGCACTCTAGCCTGGTGACAAAAGTGAGACTCTGTCTCCAAAAGAGAGAGACAAAGAGGGAAAGAGAGAGAGAGAGAGAGAGAGAGAGAGAGAGAGAAGAGAAGAGAGAGGGGGAGGAGAGAGAGGGAAGGGGAGAGAGGGAAGGGGAGAGAGAGAGAGAGGGAGGGAGGAGGGAGGGAGGGAGGGGGAGAGAGAGAGAGAGAGAGAGGAGGGAGAGAGAAAGAAAAGAATCAGATGAATGAGACCAGCCAGGAGTCCTTAGTGCCTGGAGCTCCAAGGGAGGAAGACTAGGGAGGGAAGCTGTGCTTCTTCTGGGGTCCAGATTAGGAGGAAGGGGGAGGGTCTGCTCCAGGCCAGCCCTGGACGAGGGGATACATTTTGTCCTCACCAGACACTGAATTGGGCAACCTCATCTCCCACCTTACAGATGAGGAATGGGCTCAAGGAGCCACAGCGGGATGGAGGAAAAGATGGACCTGGCTTTGATGCAGGTGGCTGGTTCGATGGCAGACTCCCCCGTGCTGTGACACTCAGACCAAATCCAGAGGTCCTGGAGTAGAGAGGGTGGGTCTGCCAGGGCATGGCCAGGCTCCCTGTCTCTAGAGACTCCCCCAGGAGAGTTTCTTGACCCTAAGGATGGTAGTGTAGCATAGGCTCTGGAGCGCTGTGCAGGGATCCCTTGGAGAGCCCCGGGGAGAGCTGGTCCCTGCCTGCCTGGGCCTGCCTCTGCTGCTGTGGAGGCCAGCACAAGGGTGGGGTCAGGTCTCCACACATGTCATGCCCAGGTTGTGTCCCCCCTCTAGGGCCAAGGCTGGGCACTCCCCAGTCAGTGGCACAGCTGGTGCTGGGGCGTCTCTCGTCCTTCGAAAATTGGTTTCAATCCCAAGTGTCACAGCTGGAAACACTAGCCACCCCTGGACGTGCAGTCTTGCCAGCCCTTCCTCAGGTCTCTGCTTCTTATATCCCAACTGTCTAAAGGGGGCACTAGTCTGAGCTCTTCCAAGACACTGGGTAGGAGTGAGCCTGCTGTGCACATTCCCAGAGGACTCCACGTCTGGATAAATGAAGGGCTGGAAGGCTCTTTGGCTCCACACCAGCAAAACAGCTTACATCACCCTGCCTAAAGAGACAGCCAGGAAATCTTGTTCCTGGGCGAGGAGAAGCTGGCCACAGGGAGTGATGGCACTGAGCAGATACTACCCCTTGCCCCCTCATGGATAGGGCGGGGCCTGCTGACCTTGACAGCGACTAGGGGAGGGGGCCTGGAGGGAAGGGGTGAGCTGGTGAAGTTGAGGGAAAGACCTGGAGTTAGGACAGGGTGCAGCGACCATGTCCTGGGACGAGGAGGCATCTGTGACCCATGTGATCTGCCAGGCAGGCAACACGAGTCATTGTACCCCGACTGTGCCCGCTACTGAGAGAGGAACTAAGAGAGGCCGCTCCTGCCTCCTGGTGCTCTCCGTTGGACAGGTCTGCTAGGCGGTACTGGCTTTTATTGTCAGTTTTTTTCTGCTCTTCCTTCTCTCCTCTCCCTCTCTTTTCCAGACCACTCACTCACACACACGTGCACAATTGCACACACATGCATTGAACATATGTGCACATATATGTATTTGTGCACACATGCACACCCACACACCTGTGCAGTGGCATCCATTTGCACACATACCCACACACTTGCACACATGTGCACCTGCAGAAATACACCCTTGCAGTTGTGTGACACACCCGCACACTTGCACACATCCATTTGCACACAAGCACAGACACACTCGCATGCATTTGCACACACAGCCACAAACTTGCACAAGCAGCACTTGTACACTGGCACACATCTGTTTGAGCCTACGAAGTGCACACTTACCCTTTTGCACATTGCTGCACTTGCTCACACATTTGCACGCACACCACACATGAGCGTGCAGCACACGTATGCATGTACACACATGCACATTTGCACACACACACAGCAGCGGCACACACTTCTCCATCCCTCTCCCCAGTCACTGTTCTCTCTTGTGATTCCCACCCCGTAACCACCCCCCACCCCACACCTGCTTGCTGCCCCTCCACTGGAATGGGCCTGGCCTGCTGCCCTCCTCTGTCTGTCTCCACCCAGGGAGGGAGGTTTCACAAGGACGGGCTGCCCTGGCTGCAGCTGCTGCTGAGCGGAAGTGTCTGAGGGGTGAGGCTGAGAGGAAACCACGCTCTCGCTCAGGTTCCCGCAGCTCCAGGCCTCTGGGGAAGGGTGAGGAGATGTGTGGGCGTGAGATGGCTTTGAGGGAGGGGAGCATGAAACTTTTCTCAGGGTCTCTTCAGT